AGCCCAGATGTGACAGGGCTGCCCCACAGCTACAGACTCTGGGTGCTTGGGAGTTCTCTGGAGGCAGACTGCATGGCAGGTTGCCAAAGAGACATGGACCCCCAGATACCTGGGGTCTTTGGTTGGACAGCATACTGCAGGATGCTCACCAACAGGTACATTTGGAGGGTTACATCCTATCCAACTGCTTTCCAGAGAAGTTTCATGTTTGATGAACTAATATTTTCAGACAAGATCTAATCTACACATTAAAGCTTGAGAGAAAGACCATTCTGGGAAACTGACATGAACTTCAAATTATAGCCAACTGCTATAATTAGACACAGTAACCCTAAGTGGATGTCCCCAACTACCAAGGAAGCATTTTGTGGTAGCAACACTGTATGTCATCCCAAAACTTCCCTTCCCACAGCTCATCTTACCCAGCCGAGATTGTAACGTTCCATCATCTGTTGATGCCATATCGTTGAGTCTCAGAAGTCCCCTACCTCTTTCCACCCAAGACTGAGAGTTCTTATCAAACACAAATAACTTGCATTGTATCTGCAACAAAAAGAGATGCCTTCTTGCTAAAGTTCTTTAATTGTTGACTATAATTATAGAATACATCATGATTACAGAATCAAAATCTCCCAATCTGCATTTGGTTAGATTTCAAATATTCACTAAAGTGAAATTACATTGCTACTAAAATGTGCTGAATTGATAACATGGAAACTAAAGTCTTACTGTCTCTGGCAACTAAAGCCCTCAAAATATATTATGTGCCATGGACTTTTCATTAGGAAAGGCAAGTTGAAGAACAAAATCACCTTGCTCTTAGAACAGAAGCATGGTGTAATTTGTGGTTATTCTTAAATCCTTAAGGAGAATCACTGCACCCTCTCAGATAGAGAAACAAGAGTTTTTTCAGATTTCTCATAGACGAGCTGTACCCATTCAGTAAAAGGTCTACTGTCCTAGATCAGCTGTTGACTATAGTCCTAATCACAAAACCTTCACATACAACAGAAACCATTAATCTGATACTCTATTAGGAACCATCTTAGTGAGCAGAGAACAGGCTTGATCTGATCACAGCAACCAGCACTGCTAAAGTACTCCATGCTCAGATGTTACTGCTAAAATTCAGCCAAAAGACATGCATTATCAAGGTCAGGTTGGTATGGGATGCAGTCTCCTCACCAGCCTGGATAAGAAAGAAAGTGGACATTATGAAAGGAATATAGAAACAAACATCAATTGTGGAATGACTTGACTAACTAAGTATTTATCTTCAGTCAAGGGAGTCTTGCATTGTGGCTCACTCCCCCAAAAAAGCTTGGAAGTGCTTTTTGGCTAACTTTTATGAAAAGTTGGCTGAGGAAAGTAAGGCATAATATTGGATGGTAATGAGCCAGACCTGACGCATCCAGGCTAGGTTTGTTCATAGTTGTTCAAGCTATTATTTGTTTGAAGGAAGGGAAGATTTACAATTTAAAGCCAGAAGAGGCTATTATGATCATCCAGTCTGATCTCCTGCATAACACAGATTTCACTCAATGGTTTCTGCATCAAGCCCATACAGCTGGAACAGATCTTTTTTAAAAAAGCATCTAATATGAAAGACTTTAAGTGACAGAAAATCTACCACAGCCCTACTTAATTGTTTCAATGATTGATAATTCTGTTAAAATTTGGCATTTATTTTTAATATGAATTTGTCTAATTCTACACATTCAGGAAAAGCACCAGCTACTCACAAATCTTATTCACTGGGAAGGGTGGATATCAGCATGGACCAAATATCCTTTCAATGGTCCAATGTCTCCCTGTGTTAATGGCTATACTGAAGGAAAGAAAAGTGGTCTCTCTGTTGGCAGTCATAGGGTGATTAGAGCCTCATGACCATTGATTTTTTTCCCCCCATGACAGATATTTGCAATGGATCCTGCTAGAAACAAGAGGTATGGTGGCAGTTTACCACACTAGATAGCGTCTTTAGGACATGGTTTTGTGATTTCAAGAAAATTAATAGAAAAGTCCTCTTGGCATGGAACAGAACTTCAGCAGAGAGTGGAGAAATTCTGTATGACAGCAGTTTCAGACCACATTTTCTAACATCTGAGCTCAAGTGGCCATCCCTCTCAATCGTGCAGGGTGGCAACATCAAGTCAAAGGAGGTGCCTTGTGGAATCTAAGGCATCAATAGTTGTGGCTAGTATATGAAAATTGTTCACTAGACTAAAAAATGAATGTTACCTACCTGTAACTAGCCTCTGCATATGCACATTTGTGGAATCAAGGCACCTACCTTGTGTACTTTCATAACCTGTTGAAAAGCATCAGGACCACCAACCCCTCTCTCCCACTCCTATCCTGGAATGAATATAGCTGGACCATAAGAATCCCAACAAGAGTGAAGCTCATTATACTGTGTGAACAATTTCTTACCTGTAGCACATTGCTTTCTGCTTCTTCCCCAGTGATCACCTCTACCTTCTCCAGTAAACACTTCTTTGCTGTTGCTTTAGTATAAGCTGCTGCAGACTCTGCCAGTGATTCTGAAATATTATTAGCTGAACAACATTTTCAAGTTTACTTTGGATACTAGTCACATAAATCCACATTGTACAAGTGTATGCCCATGTGCACCTACACAAAGTCTGTCATTTACTTGAATAAGCTACCAGTTAATAAGTTTTTCCTCTAGACTGTAACTGTCTTGTGCAACTATCATTCTACCAATTATGCTTTTATCAGGCTATAGAAATGAAGTATGAAGAAAGTAGCTGTGTCTTAAGGAATGGTTCGTCTTCTTTTCTTAAATACTGGTAAATGAAAATCCAGTCCACAGATTATGAGAGTCTCTCCAAGAGGAGGATTGTGTAAAACCTTTGTAGGTGTAATATTAGTATCTGCATTGCTACAGGTAACGCAGCCATGCCTACATTTGAAAATGCAGCCCTTTATTTTATAGTCTCTAGCAGCTCACTGGCAACTAATTCCCATAGCTTCCACATGACCTGTTTTTCTCATTAAAAACCTACTCCTTCACAGGGTTAGAGAAAACCCCTAGTTTCAGTAAATTGTTCTGGATTTAGATATTTGGTTTAGTTAGGTTTCATCCAAGTATAGGACAAAAATAATCCCTTGCCACCAGTCTTCAATCAAAATGGGAAGCAAGACTGAAGGGAAAAACAACTGAGGAGAGTTGGAAGTATTTCAAAGGGACGTTGTTAAGGGCCCAAAAGCAAACAATTCCGCTGTGTAGGAAAGATAGAAAATATGGCAAAAGACCAGCTTGGCTTAACAAGGAGATCTTGCATGATCTCAAAATAAAAAAGGAGTCATATAAAAAATGGAAACTAGGACAACTAACAAAGGATGAATATAGGCAAGCAACACGGGAATGCAGGGGCAAGATTAGAAAGGCAAAGGCACAAAATGAGATCAAACTAGCTACAGGCATAAAGGGAAACAAGAAGACCTTTTATAAATACATTAAAAGCAAGAGGAAGACCAAGGACAGGGTAGGCCCACTGCTTAGTGAGGAGGGAGAAGCAGTAACAGGGAACTTGGAAATGGCGGAGATGCTCAATGACTTCTTTGTTTCGGTCTTCACCGAGAAGTCTGGAGGTGTGCCTAACGTAGTGAATACAAGCAGAGAGAGGGTAAGTTTAGAAGATAGGATACACAAAGAACAAGTTAAAAATCACTTAGGAAAGTTAGATGTCAGCAAGTCACCAGGTCCTGATGAAATGCATCCCAGGATACTCAAGGAGCTGATAGAGGAGGTATCTGAGCCTTTAGCTATGATCTTTGAAAAATCATGGCAGACAGGGGAGATTCCAGAAGACTGGAAAAGGGCAAATATTGTGCCCATCTATAAAAAGGGGAATAAGAACAACCCAGGAAATTATAGACCGGTCAGTTTAACGTCTGTCCCAGGGAAGATAATGGAGCAGGTAATTAAGGAAATCATATGCAAACACTTGGAAGGTAATAAAGTGATAGGGAATAGCCAGCATGGGTTTGTGAAGAACAAGTCATGCCAAACTAATCTGATAGCTTTCTTTGATAAGATAACGAGCCTTGTGGATAAGGGAGAAGCGGTGGATGTCATATACCTAGACTTTAGTAAGGCATTTGATACGGTCTCGCATGATATTCTTATTGATAAACTAGGCAAATATAACTTAGATAGGGCCACGATAAGGTGGGTGCATAATTGGCTGGATAACCGTAGTCAGAGAGTTGTTGTTAACGGTTCTAAATCCTGCTGGAAAGGGATAACAAGTGGAGTTCCTCAAGGGTCTGTTTTGGGACCCGTACTGTTCAATATCTTCATCAATGATGTAGATATTGGGATAGAGAGTACTCTTATTAAGTTTGCAGATGATACCAAACTGGGTGGGGTTGCAACTTCTTTGGAGGATAGGGACATAATTCAAAATGACCTTAGCAAGTTAGAGAAATGGTCGGAGGTAAACAGGATGAGGTTTAATAAGGAGAAATGCAGAGTGCTCCACTTAGGAAGGAACAATCAGTTCCATACATACAAGATGGGAAGCGACTGTCTAGGAAGGAGCATGGCGGAAAGGGATCTAGGGGTCATAGTGGACCACAAGTTGAATATGAGTCAACAGTGTGATGCTGTTGCCAAAAAAGCAAATATGATTCTAGGTTGTATTAACAGGTGTGTTGTAAGCAAAACTCGTGAAGTCATTCTGCCGCTCTACTCTGCGCTAGTTAGGCCTCAGCTGGAGTACTGTGTCCAGTTCTGGGCGCCACATTTCAAGAAAGATGTGGAGAAATTGGAAAGGGTACAGAGAAGAGCGACAAGAATGATTAAAGGTCTAGAGAAGCCTATGAAGCCAGGCTTCATGAACTGGGCTTGTTTAGTTTGGAAAAACGAAGATTAAGGGGGGACATGATAGTGGTTTTCAAATATCTAAAAGGGTGTCACAAGGAGGAAGGAGAAAATTTGTTTCTCTTGGTTTCTGAGGACAGGACAAGGAGTAATGGGCTTAAAGTGCAGCAGGGGAGGTTTAGATTGGACATTAGGAAAAAATTCCTAACTGTCAGGGTGGTCAAATATTGGAATAAATTGCCAAGGGAGGTGGTGGAATCTCCCTCTCTGGAGATATTTAAGAACAGGTTAGATAGACATCTGTCAGGGATGGTGTAGACGGAGCTTGGTCCTGCCTTGAGGGCGGGGGGCTGGACTCGATGACCTCTCGAGGTCCCTTCCAGTCCTATTATTCTATGATTCTATGAAAATAAGACTGACTATATGTCCTCTAAATTCCTACCCCTTTCACATGCCTGATCCACATGCAGTGAACAAAAATTGCTTGACATTGATACCTCTAGAATGCTAGAGCCATCCAGCCTGTTAATCGCCTCTCCCTCCTGACCTTCAAAGGACCAAGGAGCCTCCCCCTCCACTTTTTAATAAAATGCTGGCTAGAAGGGACAGTAAGGGAAATGGGGTGGTTTTATACTTTGATATGGTAATAAAACAACAACTGCAGGAAAGGATTAGGCACAATACAGGCAGTAGTGACAGAATACTGTTTTTCTTAAAAACAATTCTGAAACCAAAAATCCACTATTCACCTTTCTCTGGAGTGGCTTCCTGTGAAGAAGATTCAGAGCCAGATTCCGTAGCAGCATTTTCCTTGCTACTTTCTGTTCCTGCTTCATTTATATGGTAATAAAACAACAACTGCAGGAAAGGATTAGGCACAATACAGGCAGTAGTGACAGAATACTGTTTTTCTTAAAAACAATTCTGAAACCAAAAATCCACTATTCACCTTTCTCTGGAGTGGCTTCCTGTGAAGAAGATTCAGAGCCAGATTCCGTAGCAGCATTTTCCTTGCTACTTTCTGTTCCTGCTTCATTTGA